TTGATATATTTGAAGAAGTTTTTCTTGTTACTCTTAACATCCCGTGCCAGATTTAATTCCAATTGTGCCTAAGGAAAAGACAGTTTTTATTTCTTTGTCCCAGCTGAGTGAAGTGAATATCCCCTTAGACTGTCCCACTTAATAAAGAGTGTCCCACTTAATGCTATCAGGTTTATTAAAAGCACATCTTACAAAATAAAGTACTAGTTGATTTGCTACTAATATTGAGGATAAGATTAGAAAATAGCCTGAATCTTAACTAGGCATTTGATGTAATCATTGGGGGGGGGAGGGTGGGGAAAGAAAATCGTTTAATATTAAGAAGCAGTTAGAAGATTAATTTTTTTGTTGTTGTTTTTTTTTGTTTTTCCTTTTCCTTAGCTACTCCAGAGCCAGAAGGAAATGAGCTAAATGCATACCACCTAAAATGCTTAGAAAATGTAGTGCAGCTTCTCGATTCCTAAGGAATATCACATGACTTGTCATCTTGAAACTGGTAGCTTACTCAAGAAGAGACTAAATTAAAGAAGAAAACTTCCAATCCTTGGATTTATAGGAGCTACACGTTGTGAAAGATATTTATGAAATTTTTGAGGAAGGAGTTGATCACTTTGAAACAAAGAATTGCACTAAACATGACTGAAGCTATTTATATTGTAATCCCAATGGGAAGTCATAGTGATTGTACTATGTATAGTACTTACGCAGGGGAAAGAATATACAGGCGAAATGGATACGAAAAATCTGTAATTCTTAAATTAGGAATTATAATGTTACTGGAAAGTAGTAGAATTGTTGCTTTGGATCAGTTTTAATAAAGGTTTTTTTTTAAATTTGGTTTAATATTTGTGGATTGGAATTACACAGGTGATTGTAATCACACAGGTGAATGCATAGGAAATAGATTTAAGAACTGAAAACTTTCACAGATAAATCAGTGTGTTGAACCACATAGATATAGAACAGAAACATGTGCTTTTGGGGTTTTTGAGGAATTTTCAGTTTCTTTATTTTATGTCCCTAAATGAGACCGTGTTTAAAAGAGCTCCCACTAACTGATACTACAGGTAACAGTTTTGTTAATATAACAATTTTTGTTAATATAACAATAAAACAATTTATAAAGAATGAGGTATGTGCATCTCACTTATAATAATGTAGAATAATGATACAGATGTTTTTCACAATCTGTTGGCTCCTACTTTCAAAAGATGCTTCTGCCTTGAAGGGGGTAGGGGCGACGGAAGCAGTATGTTACCTAGGTCTCTGTCCTTTAAATTGCTACTATGCATTCTGTGCAAATGAATTCAGGAAGGAGATGCATGCCAGAAGTTCATGCCAGTCAAAATTTGCTGTGCACACTTCAGAAATACCTTAGAGGATATTTACAGATTTCCCTCAACACTCATAGTTGTGACTGCTATCAGCAACAGGTAAAATGAGCAAATAGAAATCAAATGTTGGATAACATCTCTAAAAGACTTGTAGCAAGGTCGTGTTTGCCTAACCAGATAATGAAAATTCTTTCAGCAGACAATGCGTGACTTGGTGTTACTTAACAGACGTAACCAGGGTGCTTAGAATGACTGAATTAGATCACACCAGAAATGTGATTCTGGGTGAGCACAACCCGTCTGAAAGCATAGAGCAAGGGGAGACCACTCAAGCCTCATTCTTTTTCACTTGGTACACTGCATAATCATTCTAACTTGCAAAGTGAATTTTAAATAGTTATGCTTACCTAGCAGTTTTGCAGAAGCTTAAGCAGGCATGGATCCCAATACTCACAAGTAAACTTGTAGTTCTGGAAGTCCAGTTCTGGGTCCAGTTTATGAAGCGGGGTCCTGTTTTCCTCAACAGCAACTCTTGGTTCCTTTCAGGCTCTTATATACTTACATTTGCTCCTGATGACTTCTCTCCTAATCAAGTTGCAAGTCAATATGCAGTTTGGCAGTTGGCTTCTCAGGGATGCAAAAAAATGAGACAACTGTATCCTGCTAAATAATAATCTGTTGTCTTTATTGAAATGATTTTGGCATTAGGAGAGAAGTCTTTCAAAGTACAGAAATCCACATGGATTTCAGTGACATGAAAGAGAGTGGCCTTTTTCTTTTTTTTTTTTTTTTTATCTGATTCATATTAAATGTTTTTAGGGATCCACAATGTTAACCTTGTAAAGAAAACAGTATGTCCTCAGGAAGCAAAAGTGATGTTAAGTTGCAGAGCATGAATGAACAGATGACTGAAGAATTATAA